CAAATTGTTGGTTCTCAGACTTGCTCCAAGAGAGTATTACTACCTTTTATTGGTGAATTCTCACATAATTTATTTGGAACCGCACATGACAGCGACGTGAACATAATACGACAACATATCAATATCTTATCAAATAGAATGAGAGCGGAAGAAGCAGCTTTTAATGTGTCACAGGATTACATGGGTTCGTACATGTCTAAGGCCAATGACAGAATGGATGGTTTGAAGCAGGGCTAATTGCAAATCATAATGAATTGACTGAACTAATAAAGGTAGAGAGAGAATGGTAAGATACGATGGTTTCAGGCCATGTATGCACATTGGATACAACTGGTTGCAAAGGAGTTACATTTTGCTACTATGGTTGAAAGGAAGACTGATCGGTTGAGCACGGGATTATATAAGTTATTACAAAATGTATTATCACCCGAGTTGATACCTTTCCGACACTTAAGGCGGACTCTATCAAAAATAAGGAGAGCATTGAAATGTCACAGTTTTAGAAATTTAAGTGATCTCAGACATACTAGTGTCCTCTTGTATAAATGTTGATTGTTTTACTGTATTCAAGATGTTACTTTTACTACATGTTTAATGCTTTTGTGCTTACCTATATGCATTTATTTATAATATATATGAAGGAGTACACCTACCATATGAGAAAAACATATGTTAAATTTCATGGGAGAAAAGCTATCCGTTATATGTTACCAGGATGTTGTAAATGGTGCATTGTATTGCACCTCCGGAGTTGATAGATTGCACGTGCGATCACTGCCCAATGAGACATTTGACAATATTCTATGTAGGTGCATGTCCAGTGACTTTACGATAAGTTGATGTTGTTTAGATATTGAAAAAAACAAAAACTATTGTGATTGTTGAGTCAGGTGAGATGTTGTTTGTTTACTGTGTATAGATGCTGAAGCTAAATTTCAACATTTACTTGAGAAATTATAAGAACAAACTGTTGTAATCTTCAGTTAAAGAGGACTTCATGGAGTGTAATGCATGAATTTAAAGTAATTTCCTATTTGATTTACAAATGACTGAATTTGGGACAATTAACTCTTTTGGACATCAGAGTCAACGTTTTCGCTGTCATACATGTAGGAATGAGCAACCTCAATCTATAAGATGATGGAGAGAATCATTTCTAAATAAACTTCCACATGTAATAGGACATTTTTGATCATTTGATATGGAGAACTTTTCTCATTGGATCGAGACCATAAGAGTCAGAGTAAGTTGAATATGTTCTAGAACATACGGACATGGAACATGTTGATGATACAGAATAGTAAGACTATATATTGGATACGTAGAACTCTGAAACTGATCATCAGTTGGTTATTGGTGTTGTGATACTATTGTGATTTTTGCCTGAAGGAAAATGCTCATATGTCTTTACATATAAGATCGAAATGTTAAGAAATGTTTTTATTACCAATCTGCATCTACTGAAAAAGCGTACAAAGAAGAATTGTTTGATTATGCCTTTATAAGTCTTGGCATGTTATCATTCTCAGATAGGTACAACCCAAGACAGATCCTATCTGAGACATTACTTTGTAAAATTTTATTGTATTAATTTATCTGGTCCTCAGATGCATACATACACATGTTGTTACATATTGATATTGTACTATTGTATTTACATCTTATATTTTATTATCATTGGTCAATCGCATGGGACATGCTCTACAACGGGAAGGGCATGTATAACCATGGTATTTTGGAAAAAGGTTTTTTTAATATTTACTTAAAATGTAGTTTACTAAATTGAGCTTTTGGGTAAAATATGGATGCATATGAGAGAAGTGACCGTACAGGGTGAGGGCATAACCCCCAGGGCATATGATTATCGATTTTGCTTCTCTTAAGTGATAGAGATAACTTTTCATTAATCTGAGGAAATTAGTAGAATACGGTCTTGTAGTATAAGGGTCAGAAGGGAAATGAATCGATGGGACAAAAGTTGGTAAGTCCGGATGTGATCAAATATTTCTATGTCTAAATAACAAGCTTCATTTGAATCACAATCTTTTCGGCACCTTCCAATCTGGCAGAGTATTGGGTTTACATCTAGGGTTGTTTAGAGTTGAGGGTATGTTCGGTTGACCAATGATTTGACCATTAATTTAGGAAATTAGTTGAGTGTTTGGTTAGAAGAACTTGATGGGAAGACTGATTGAAATCGGAATTGGGGGTTCATAGAGAAGTGAGCGTTAAGACTCATTTCTCAGGATGTCAAATATGATTTCGGTGGGAGGAGTTAAAATTATCATCGATAGTATTTTGTTAGTTGTCCGAGAGTGGTGCGGGGAGTCGGGAGCAGACAGCTGAACAGAAAGGTTCACTGTGGTTTTGGGATCCCGAGTCAGAAAAGAAGAAGAGTTAACGTTCATCAGAAAAACCATCAGGCTCTTCAACCATCATCTAGGTATGTGTTGTATTTATATCAGGCAACAACAAGAACTAATCTGAGGACCATGTGTACATATTTATGATTAATTCTATCATAAATAAAAAGAGGCTGGAGCAAACCATCTGACTTGTGATTTTCAAGAGAGCTACATCATCCCTAGAACCAAGGAGTAGTTGATAAGTAGAAGTGACCATAGGTAGAAGGGTAAAGTACCCGGAACCTAAGGTTACACTACATGTACTTTGAGAGCGTCGAAGGTCCTCAGAGAGTATTTAGCTCAGAAAGGAAGCTTGTTTGAATTTGAGAAAGTGACCAAAATACTTGCTAAATTCTACCATTATTATCTTGGAATATCAAGCCTTCAAACAGCACATGTCAACATACCAAAATTAGAAAACTGCCAAATATTCTAACAGTGTTAGTCAAGTGATAAACGGTCTCATTCACTCGTTGGTGTATTAGATCTACTTTCTAGTTCAGTCAAAGAGAATATTATTATTAGGAAACTGAAACCACGTGTAACCTTTATTACTACCACAATATTAGATCAGCTGTTTGACGTGACGTCATCCGTGTCACAACACACAAGGTCAAATCACGCGCACCTGTCCAGACAACAAATTTACAGCGGCATGAAATCACCAACCATCTATTAGCCTACACAAATAAAATTGCAGATTGTAACGTCATTGAACAGAAACAAATAAAGTGTTTACTCATTCCTGACATTTTAGATAACATATCAAATAAGAGTTGAAGACTTGCAATAGATTATCATGTGTTAATTGAGAGTACTGTCCCCATCAATAATTTGTAAATCTAATATTAATTAGATCTAATATCCATGGCACAATGTTGGAAATATAAGCTGTCATGTTATAAAAAAAATATTACATTTTCTGAGGAGATTTATAATGTGTATTTGATGATATATACATACACGATTGGTTATCAATTATCTTGTACAATCACAGCATGTGTACATTAGACTCACGGAAAAAACTATTTCAGCAAATCTATCATATTTCCATTATCACAGTTTCATTGAAAGGAAAAACAAATCAAAAGCTTTACTTTACAAATACATTACTTTACAAAATATTTACAGCACATCATATCCATAAGTGGTGAACCCAAATGCTTAAAGGTACTGCTGTCATCATTTCAGAAGTTATGTTGATGTTTTCAATAGTTGTATTACGAGTGTATCGCATGTACCATCGACAGAAACGGGGGTAGAGCTACCACATGTGAAACCGACCTTGACACAATTTGTTTACAATTTGGCGTTGACTCACATTAGATGTCGTGGCCACACTTTTGAAATGTCCTTTTGCAACAAAATGTGAAACAGTTAGGGCAAGTCATTCACACGATCGGGTAGTTTGAGCAATCACACATGACTCTTAGTCATTTCGTTATTTGTCTAAACGGGCAAGCATGTAGGACAACCGGTAGACAAGAAATCATGGCACAGATATGATGCGAACGTGCCCTGTCGATCACTTCCGGCTTGGCCATTCAATGTTTACATTTTGATCATGAACTTCCTGCCCATAGATATATACTATAGACTCTACCACCTTAATATTAATGATCATAGCTATCTTTCCACATCCTCGATTTGAATATTTTCTGTAAATCAGCATAAGAAACAGAAAAAAATTTTGCACTGTCGTTTCATCTCTAGCGCCGTGCTAATTCACCATGACACAATTGATTAACATATGCAATACTAGAACAAAAAACTTCCGCTGCGGACTAAACGTTTGTACTCTTACGCCAATAACTGTACAGTGGGGACAAGTAAAGCTTTCTGATCACTGATCAGATTTCTTTTTCAAATTGGCTGTCTGATAATATATGTGACATGGATGCATAATAAAAAAATCGCCGTCATTCCCTTGAAGTTCAATATGGCAGAAAAAGATTGAGAAGCTTGGTAACCACTTTATTAATCTCACCATATTTCACAATCCGTAGCACCGTATAAAATATGACATATACGATGTTAAAGCTGAGATGATTAGGATGATAATGGTTACAATTTTGTGTTTGTGCACTCAGTGTTTGACATCTTAATTCACAGTTGAAAAGGGACATTTTCACGGGACCATATATGGTCCTGTGGCACTAAGAAGGTGTGGAAAGTGAAGGACTATATATGGTCCCGTTGCACCAAAAGGTCCAACATAGATCTAGTCTTAACTAACAATCTAATAAAATAGTCTGTCGTAGACGTATACAAAACTTGATCAATATCATAATTCCCTTGAAATCATAACCCATAGATCTAAACCATATGTATTATCATCGTCTAGTATGGAAGTACATTGTTTATCCGTTTATCTTTAATCACAACTCAAATGCCCCTTGATTTCCTTAATTCATTTGACCATTAACACTGGCAGATATAATCCAAACTCATCAAAACAATCAGTTATAATAAGTGATTGAAAGCTGATTTCGCTCTCTGGAATGCAAGCGTGTAAAAATATTGAATTAGATCTATCACAGCTGACGTGAAAATTATTTGGAAGAAATCTTACAAATAGAAAATAAACTAAATTACCGGTGTAGTTGTCCAGAATGGTTCCAAATGCGACATTTATCCGCGTTCATGACCTTTTTCAATAATGACATAATAACAACAACCTTACGTCTTTCTCGAAGGTCGCGAAATGAGAGTTAATTCCCTTACAGCTCTTTAGGGGTACAAGGCTAAAACGGCACCTCAGCAAAACGTCACCGATTTCTCTGGCGAAAACGGCACCGCATTTGGCGGAAACGGCTACTATGTGACAGGCGAAAACGGCACCTCTATTTCTAATAATGATAAGAACGATTTATGTACAATGTAGTAGTATATCTGATTTATGTTATTTGTTACATATTATTTGATGTATTTACATGTTATTTCCAGTTGTTCACAGATAATTACATACATTCACATATATACAATATATATTTTATGGCCGCTGTCAATACACTGAGAGGAAAGGCCTTGCGAGCATGGTATAAGATCAAAAGTTCGCTGAAATCAACTTCTCATCTCCCAGCAGACATTCTCATTCGCTTGTATAATGTCTTAATTGTACCCATTGCATCATATGGAGCCGAGGTATGGGGCTGCAGTCTTCTAAGACCCCCGCATGAAATGTATCATAACTGGTCTAAACAACTATGTAATGAGATCACTATCAAAATAGGAAAGCAGATTCTAGGAGTTCTTTTTGTACTGTCCAAATTATCAGAATGAAAGACAGATACTTCTTAGAAGACTAGACTTACAAAACTGCTAAATTGATAATAAAATCTTAGCAAATATCCTGAACCCCTGTCCTGAAAGAGGAAAATATGTTTCACAAATTATCTCCGACATGTTTATTAAAAGAACCTCTCTTATAGACAACATCTAGATATGACCTTATTTTACTTCAAGGCATGTTATGTTTTCACAATAATTTGAGTTGCGTATAGGCTAAGTTGGAATATAGTTGGAGTAGAGGCTAAATTCTAATGTAAACTAGTTGTAACATTTCACAATTATTGGTGTTTGCAAGCGACCATGTTAGTTTAATATCATTTATTTTATCAAGGTTAAAAAAAAATAGGGTGCCGTTTTCGCCAGGCAATAGTAGCCGTTTTCGCCTGAGGCGAGGTGACGTTTTCGCCAATCGGTGCCGTTTTCGCCAGGTGACGTTTTGCTGAGGTGCCGTTTTAGCTATAACCCCTCTTTGAGAAGGGCGTTTTCGCGGGGTTGACCAAGAATTCGGTCATAATCAGAAACGTGGTTTAGCGATTTCGCGTAACGGAATGTTGTGCTGCTGCACAATGTGCTTATAAAGTCATTAAAACAAACAACCATAGTCACAGTAAGAAAAGGTAACTTTATTATAGATAACACCTTCTAGCCAATCAGTTAACCATGCCTCACCACCGGTCCGAAAAAACGCCCGAGAGCGTCCGGAAGCGTCCGGGCAACGCCAAGGTTGATTGGTTTGTTGTTGAACGCCACACTCAGCAATATTCCAGCTATATGACGGTGGTCTGGAAATAATCAAGTCTGGACAAGACAATCCAGTGATTTACATCATGAACATCGATCCACGCAATTTGGATCGATGACATGCATCAACCAAGTCAGCGAGCCCATTGTACAAGTATATACACACTCACATATGTATTTGACAGAGCGCCAAAATGTTTGCCTTATGATGTACATGTACAATAGTGGACAGTAATACTACTTAGGATAATTAATGACATCATTAAAATAAGAAAATATATTTCCCTAGACTGTTAAGTAAAGGCGGATTCGAGCTTGAGAATAGCATTTTACGTTTTTGCTGGTTTGGATGGACAGAATAATACTTTGGTAAAATGCTGTCTCTTAAATCTGCATAGAATGGACATTGGAGCCAAACTTCTCCAATACCATACTTATATAACAAGTTTTATAACATCATAAGCCCAGTATTTTTCCCCATTTCGGCATTACTGAACTCGAAGTGGTAGCATACTTAAGAATACTATTTGATTTTTGGCTCAGCAATCGCAACCAATAAGTGATTATTTTCTTATATTGAAAACCTTCACAGAAAATCGACCAACCTCCCCTCTCGCAGCTTTATTCGGGGTTTGACTAATTTACAAAACCTGTCATGAATTATATCAACATCTGGGGATGGGTGCAAACCCCATACCTCAGATCCATATAATAAGATTGGCATGATTTTAATATCAAAGATATGAAGCTGTATACTTATAGGACGTTTTTGAAACATAAAGATTTACATTGCAATATTTGGATAACTTTCCAAGCTTGTTGCGCTTATGTTTTTTTGGTTAAGTACCATGAGGCAGATGAGGAAAAATGAACACCCAGATATTTATAGCTAGATACTATTTCAAGCTAATTTGTGTTAAAGCGAATTTTTTCACAACACCGTAATGGTCCACCATTTCTAAAAACAATTATTTTACTTTTATCAATATCAACCTTCAATTTCCATTTGTCACAATAAATAGCAAATGTATCTAAACGCTTTTGTAGGCCAACTGGTGTGAAATCAAACATGACAATGTCGTCAGCAAACAGCAATATAACAACTCCAGTTGATCCATGGTAATTCTTCTTTGTCCATCAGAACTCAAAAAGTCTACAATATCATTGATATAAAAAAAAGAAAACAAAAAAGGTGACATTTGACATCCCTGCCTCAATCCATATTTACATATGAAAAAGTCTGTGTAGCCAGCATCCATTGAAATACAAGCTTTAACGTGTTCGTTCGTTCAAACCTAAACAGTCTACCTTTAACCCCACCATGCCAAAGTTTATACAATAAACCATTTCTGTAAACAGAGTCAAATGCAGCCTTCAGACACGTGGAATGAACTCAAAATCTTCGATATAGTGAAGGTCATCATCTATAGGTAAATATAAAATGTCATCATTATCGATAAAATCATGGCAAGCACCATTCTCTGTCCTGGCGTTCAGATCTCCCATTACAATGATATGACAACCAGGATGATCTGTTTTCATTTGTGTGATGTCACTGTCCAACATGTCCAACACAGGTTCTGCTGAATGTACACTTGAATTGTGACTGGTGAATTGACTAGTGCCAAAAACAAAGGGATGTCGTTTGTGGTATCCTTCACCTTCACCCACATGGTATTTTCTGTTGTGCTGCAGTTTGTATGTAAATCACAAGATGATGCAAGCTTGTCTTTTATCAACATCAAAAGTCCTCCAGGGTTTCTAAAAGCACCAACGGGTTTTGGTCTGGTTTTGCTGTATTGTGTGTATCCAGGAAGACTAAATATATCATTCTGACCTGCCCAAGTGTCCACAAGTCCTATGACATCAGTAGTATAGAGTCAGTAGGCAGGAGCTGGTTTTGGTTGATCCGGTTGATCCAGGCGGATGCGAAGGTGATTGGCTGATCCAAGTCACGTGATCGGATAGGATGACTCATGGATCAACAGCGCGTCGGGAAAGGGCGGGGAATGAAAGGTGTGTGTTTATAAGACAGAAAAGAATTCGTAAGTAAACAAAAGTAAAGGGTATTCAATAGAGCTATGCGTATGGCGTGCTGCCCTTAATAGACAAGCAGCCCAGTTTGAATTGAGCGCGCTTGATAACTCACGTGACCACGTCGTTTCAAATGGTCATAATGGTTTCGTTTATTTCAGGCGTTAGTAGAAATTACAACTAGTGTACAACTTACGTAGTCGTTTCAAATTGACCGCGCTCGCGAGAGCGTGCGGCCTGGTTTGATGAATGCAGGGTGTGTGTTCAACACGATATACGCCGGGTAATGTAAGGAAAAGAAAATGTACGTCTAGCTGGATCAAATTCATCTTATACGGTCTACACGTTGTACACCGTGAACGTTGGACAACCTGTATGGAAAAAAAAAATATAGACAAAATAGATAAGACTACGCAATCAGCAAGCTAGCGGTGTCGTTTAATTACATTTAGCGCGCAAGAACGAGCTAATGTATAGCAGAGAGACTAAGCGACCGGCCGCCCATAACAATGTCAACATACACTACCCCGGCCTTACAATTAATGTTAACATACCAGCCTCGCCTGAAGCTTCCCATTCATAAATTATGTGACCAGTGTCCCGTATTTATGATACGTTAGGGAAGATGTGTTGTACATTTGTTATTTTAAAAGGGAGTTATTTCAGAGAGGATATATATATGGGTATTCCCCTCATTAAACCTTTCTTTCGATGGTGTCTATTAAACGTATCCGGCATTTAATACATTTGAATGATGTAGGAAAGTATGTGCGTGTAGATGTTGTACCTATATCCGAACACGAATGTATGACACCTTTCAATAGATCAATTACGGTTATAACCACGACACGCAACATGACTGTGAGCGTGGTTAGCAGTTCATATTTATAAACACATCGTAAATGACATATTTCTGATGAATGAACTCGCCCGCACACATGTCTATAGGGTTATGTTCGCCCGAACTGTAAACAGTGACACATTGGATAACAGGAAGGGTGTGTGGAATGCACTCGTCCTCGTAAGGGTAAAATACGCGTTTAAACTCACCATTTAAATGATGATGACATTACTTTTTAGATGTATTGGTATCAGTGAGTGAGTGAATTTAGTTTTTACGCCACACTCGGCATTATTCCAGCTCTAGGACGGTGGTCTGTCAATAAACGAGCTTGGACCAGACAATCCAGTTGGTCAACAGCATGAGCAGCGATCTGTGCAACTAGGAACCGATGGCACGTTTCATCCGAGTCGGCGAGACTGACCAACCGATCCCCGTCAGTCGCCGATAAGCATGAGTTACTGAAGGTCGATTCTATAACCCGAACCTTCACGGGTGTAGTATGACGAAGACTATATACTAATATGATCGCTTTTTTAACATACTCACAAGTGTGCTGTGAAGAAAAGAGTGTCACCCAAGAATCCCTGCACGTGTAAGACAGTATAAACTCTACAGTAGTGTTGCCCGACAAACAGTTTTACTCTCGCCAGCAAACCGATTGGACGTGAATAACATGAAGAAAGCATCAGAGATTAGACTTGACCCTAGAGATATATTTAGGAAGACTACGTTGAGAAAATCACAACAGAGAAAGAAACCACAAACAGCCAAGAAGTCGACGCTGAAGACAAAGAAGAGAC